TTTTGAGACATCCTCAATAAACAGTATCTTATGCTATTTAGACACTGACTGTTTTAGTCAGAACACTAAAAGGGATATGTGCAAGTGGACATTGAACTACAATTTCCAATGCATATTAAACTTTAATGAAGTTATCTCTTCTTTGAAATTTGGATTGCAAAAATCCTTAACTGTTCAAAGAACTTTACTTTAGATGCTTCAACCACTGGTTCTGAAGAGAAAACTCAGTCTATGCTGACATTTGTAATGATTAACCAAATTAGTTTAGTCTGTTTGACCAATGACCTTGAGGTTGTGTGCTTTACTTTACTTCAATTTAATCATGGGTGATCTTACCACCTGATGATGTGATGTAGGATATTTTCATATTGGGAAGAGTCAGGTTTCCAGAATATTAACTGAAGTTTCTTTAACTTTGACTTTGGAATTAATGCAGTGTAGCTGCTTCTTGACATACGGGACTTGCACAGCTTACAGATGTCCAAACTCTGGCGTCTAGGAGGGTTCAGTTTTAAAGAGAAAAAAAATGGTCTATCCAGCAGCTAGCCTTATGAATTGTGCCTCATTCCTGAAAGCACCCTAGCTTCCTTCTCTGGAAAGAGTAAACACAATCTTCAAGTGGTCTCACAGTTCTCAAACCTTTTACAAAATTGGTTTCAGCAGAACTCTTTCTTCATAACTGAAATGTGCTCCCTAAGGTTTGAAGATTTATTGGTGTCATGATAGATGTTGACTCTAGATGGTGTAGGATTTTGTAGCAGCATTTTTGTCCTTTTTGTACGCACTGCTATCACTGTTGTAGGTCAGCAAATGTTGGCTGTTATGCCCTAGTTGTCTACAGACAGAGGATTTTTATTGTCCTATTAAATGTAAAAGCTGTGTGCATGTAACTATCGTAAAATGGTAGTTTGTACTCTATAAACATACATATTCATCACTTATGCTGACTGCTTGATGAAATGGCATTTATATCAATATAACATTTGTTTACAGCTTAATGGAAATCAATGCATATTAGAGTAAATTCTTATTAGTGCTACATTGATGTGCAATTTGGTCCCTAGAATCATAGCATCCCTACAGTATGGAAGCAGGTCATTCGGCCAGTCGAGTCCACATTGACCCTCCAAAGAGCATTCCACCCTATCCCTGTAACGCTGCATTTCCCATGGCTTATGCAGCTAGCTTGCATATTCATGGACACTATGGGCAATTTAGCCCGGCTAATCGACCTGAAGCCCACACAAAAACAGGGAGAATGTGCAAACTCCACACACATACGCACACACACGCGCACCCACACACCCAAAGGTGAAATTGAACCCAGATTCCTGGCACTGTGAGGCAGCAGTGCTACCACTGAATCACTGAGCCACCATGCCACGGTCCCATTTGAGGGAAGGTAATGAATCTTTACTGACTGCTTTGCCATTCTGTGATGTTAAAACACTCTTTTTCACTCTCGACTTGTTTGCTGAACACTTACCTTGGTTTTTCACCCTCCACCCTTAATAAATTTCATCGTGGTCAGATTTTGCCATGCACGTTGTACAAGTAATGGTTCTAAAGGGGTTAAGGTTCATATTTCATTGGTCCACCCATTCTAATGATGTCATACACAGTCTGCGGTTGGAGACAGAGCTTTCTGAGGGAGCAGATGTATCTGGACCAGTTCCATAAGATCCCAGTAATTGTTCCTGACCAAATCTAATTGTACTTATTGCTATCATGCAGCAGTCCTTCTTGTTATCTAAGAATAGTGCTTCTTCTGAGAAACAGTGTAGTGGTGTGGCCTCTACCAGTAATCACTTGATAGGTCGAAATCAAAACAAACACAGAGGACTGTTCTGAAGAAGTCATACCAGACTTGCAGTTAACTCTGTTTCCCTATCCATTGTTGCTGCCAGACCTGTTGAGTTTGTCTAGTGTTCTATGTTTGTTTAAAAGACAAACAAGGATTGGTGGTTTTAAAAAAAAAACTAGCTCAAGTAACCCCCACCTAGTAACACACACTGTTAGAAGCAGCAAATACCACAAGGTACCAGCAGTGGTCATCGGGGAAAATAACCATTGCATGTACCACTGTACACCTTTACCCACATGGTCTTCACCCTAATCCTCATTGAACTACATTGGCCTCCCATGACCTGATGTCTTTGATTCCTTATTCTCATTTTAAACTCATTTACAGCCTAGTCCCATCCTGTCCCTTATACCCTCCGTCCATCCTGTACCCCTTACCTTGAGCACACTCTTGTCTCTTCAGCGTTCCAGTTTTGTACCTCTACTACTGATGATTTTGGGAAAGCAATGGATAGTCGTATTATCACTAGACTATTAATCTAGAGATCTAGATAATGTTCTGGGGACCCAGGTTTGAATCTTGCCATAGCAAATGGTGAAATTTGATTTCAATAAAAATCTGGAATTTTGAATCTAATGATGACGATGAAATGTGTTTGGCTTCATGTAACATTATCATCACTTGTGAGAGGGTTGTGGATTAACACCTTGCTTTGCAATTTAAATACATACGCCAGGCTGACATTTCAGTATGGAATGGAGTATTCCTACATTGTTAAAAATACCTTCTTGCAGATGATTTGTGAAAATAAGCCTTTTGGCTGATTTGGTGGATGGATGACAGTTAATCCTCAGACAGTGTTTGAAGATGAACATGAAATTTTGGTGTCTGAATCAATATTCATCCATCTACCAGCACCACTAAAAGAAGATTGACAGGTTATTTACCTCAACTGCTGTCTGGTGAACTTTGCCATGTACAAATTAACAATTGCATTTGCCTAGAAAGCAACAGTGACCAAAGTAGAATCAGAGATAGTAGGAACTGCAGATGCTGGAGAATCTGAGACAACAAGGTGCAGAGCTGGATGAACACAGCAGGCCAAGCAGCATCATAGGAGCAGAAAGGCTGACGTTTCGGGCCTAGACCCCTAGGTCATTGTGTGCCAAGTGGCTTGAAGCATTATAACGAAGTAAAAGGTACTTTACAAAAATAACTCTGTTCAGTTTTTTTTAATATTTTTTGGAGTTACCACTGACATAAGTACAATTTATACAAACTAAATAAGTGGTTCCCCTTTACCAGGTCTGCACTGTAACTTTTATTTTATTCATTTGTGGGATGTGGGCATCACTGGCTGGCCAACGTTTATTGCCCAACTCTAGTTGTCCTTGGAGAAGGTGGTAGTGAGCTGCCTTCTCAAAATGCTGCAGTTCATCTGCTGTGGGTTGGCCCATAATGCCATTAGGGAGGGATTTTGAACCGGTTATATGACGCAGTAAATGCTTATATCTAGGCACTGATTGAGATAAACCTGAGTCACGCCAGATGTGAATGAGTCTTGTGATTCAATGGGAGGGTTACAGTAAAGATGCAAGTTTTCAAGTGATAGTAAATGACCAAAATTTTACAATGAATAGTACAAGGCCCAATGAAAATGGGTAGTAAAGGCACACAATATGGAACAGTTGAATAGATGTGTTGCCTATCCACAATGGTTTCTTCAACACTTGAATTCTACATATCAATGTTGTTTGAGCATACTTCACATCACTGGAGGGGTGGCCAAGGTTGAGAAAGATTTTGCCAGGAATAACTATGTTGTGTTGCTGAGCCCAGATCCACAATGGTTCTGGTGTGAAGAAGTAAGGAATCATTGATGGAAAGAAAGATGCTGTTGATCACAAATTGCCTTCTTATCAAAAACTGGCAATATATATGGCATTGTAATGATTTTTTAAAAAATTGATACCTGGTGTCAGCATACAGAATTGGAATAGCTTTGAAGAATTTCCAGGAAAATGTCATTCTGGCAGTTAAATATTATATAAAACTGGATATAAAATTGCTGAGGTTTTTTGACTGGGAATAATGAATCTTCTGCTCTCTGTGCTAAATTGGTTATTTTAAACAAGCATTAAAATTGCCTTTCACTGACAAACCTATACAATAGAGCCTACCTTAACTTGCCCTGGACCTGTCTAATTTTACTTGTGCGCTGCAAGCAAGTTCCCATTGAATTAATGTGTAAATATTTGACCATTCTTTCCATTGTACATTGCTGAAGTGCTTTGCTTCCTTATACAACATTGCCTTTAAAATAGGAAGAGGTTTGTAATGTTTTTCGAATCAGTTGCACATTAAGGAAAATTTTAATCATTTTCTGCTTCCACTTTCTTGAGCCGTGATAATCAAATAGCCTTTATAACAGCCTTACCCAATGCCATAGAGAAACTTGTCTGTTCAAAGTTGTTTACATTCAAAGATTAATCTCTATTCTGATTTTGCTTTGTTGGTAATGATCATAATTGTGAACTACATTGTGTGTGGGAAGGTGACAGAAATCAGATGATATAAGCTGCAGGGTCTGTGAGTCAGTGTGGCACGCTGTTTATTTGCTGTGAAAAGATATATATTTTAACTCGTTCATTTCTGACTTCTTTGGAATTGCCAATGGGCTGTTTAGTCTCTAATGACGTAAATTTGAAATGTAGCAATTATACAATCAACAGTGATATTACATAAAATGACTCTTCAAGCAGCATCATCCACACAGCAGGAATAGCAGCAACCTTCTGGATTTTGATAGACCCTGCAGGGAGAAGATTAGGAAAATATGAGTTTAAATAAAAAGTAATAAAATGCCCCAAATACGATGGAAGTAACATGTATAACGATCAGGCATTGGCCTGTTAGTTAGTGACTACCGTTGCATCTGAACTGTTAGTAGTTCTGGTGGACTGCTGGATTACTTGTGCTTGAACCTTGCTCCTGTCGTAGTTACAAAGAGGGTGTCCCTTGTGACTACAGCATTACCAATTCTTTTACAACAAAAAAGCACTAATTATAATGTGGAGGCAATTGCTCCAGTGCTTTTAATTCATGAGTATGTGGGGAGTTCATGCTGCTGTTTTAACTTTGACTTTAGAATCAGGGAAAAGAGTTAGCCCTAATTAAATTTCATTGCTTCTTTCAGAATCAAGCATCCAAACATTGTGTCACTGGAAGATATTTATGAAAGTCCAACACATCTTTACTTGGTGATGCAACTGTAAGTATTGATTGCACATTTCACACTTCTGCATTGTAATTCATCATAACTATCCATCCACAAAATGCAGTTGCATTTTCAGTGCTGTACGTAGACCTAGTATCACTGCTATAAATGTCTCTCCAGCAGTAAATATCAATTCTGCATGAACTGAGAAATGCAGCTGTAATGATTCATCCAGCGAAAGCTTTTTATTGTGTATTGACTCAGTCATATAAATCTTTTCAGTGTTGAAAGTACCAATCTTTCCCAGGATAGAGTGGAAAATAACTGCACAATCAATAATGAATTATGCTTGGTTTGTGTTTAAAATAATTTATGTAAACTAGATTATTTTGTAGGGTGCAGATAAGTCTGAACTGTGCCATTTGCCCTAAATGTACTGTAAAGCTGGATAAGGCTCTGAATCATTAATCATCTTTGTTTTCTATCTTACTCATGTTAATAAAGCGCACGTGTTTGATAGATATTTTACAGTGCAGAAACTGACAACAGATTTCTATGATGGTTGATTACAGTGCTGCTGACTACATAATTAGGCTAACAGTGATGGGAATCATTTTGTCTTTGTATAAGGGAAAGACTTTCAGGACTTCCTGTATTCACAACTTGTACTCTCAATATACCTTTCTTACAAAAAGCTGAAGGTCTTCCCACTCAATTCAATGTGCTCCCCAAGCTATGCCCAAGAACAGAAACCTGCCTGAAATGTAACAAATGAGTATTCTTTGTTTTCCCTCCTTGTGACCACATTTGTCTATAGATATTGTGGGGATGTGTGTGTGGGTGAGATGGTGTGGTGGACCCTCACAAATATGATTTTGGTAAATTTATCTGGGATGTGTAATATCGTGTGATATTCACAGCACACAAATGTCAGACAGTGGCCATTTCCAACAAGAGGGAATCTGACCATCACCCCTCGCCATTTAATGGCATTACCACCACTGAATCCGCCACTATCAATAGGTTACTTTTTACCAGAAACTGATTTGGACTGGCCGTATAAATACTGTGGCTACAAGAGTAGGTCAGAGACTAGGAATCCTGCAGCGAGTAACTCATCTCCTGAGTCCCCAGAGTCTGTCCACCATTCTCAAGACACCAGTCAGGAGGGTGATGGAATATCCTCCGTTTGTTTGGCTGGGTACAACTGTGACAACACTCAAGAAGCTTAACACCATCCAGAACAAAGCAGCTTAATTGTTTGGCACCACATTCACAAAAATCCACACCTTCCTGCTCAGGAACAGCGGTGTGAAAAATGCATTGTAGTAATTTATCAAAGATCTTTAGACAGCACCTTCCAAAACCTCAACCAATAAAAATATGGAAGGGCAGAAGATACACCACCACCTTCAAGTTCCTGCCCACGTCTCTCACCATCCTGACTTAGAAATATATCACAATTCCTTCATTGTCACTGGATCAAAATTCCGGAACTCACTCCCGAACAGTATTGTGATTCTACTTACGAACATAGACTGCAGTAGTTTAAGAAGCTCACCAACATCTTCTCAAAGGCAACTAGAGTTAGGCAATAAATACTGACACCCACATCTCATAAATGAATTTTAAAAAATGTAAATGATCATTGTGCCTGCTTTAAAGTCCATACACCCACCACCAAGTGGGTAGATTTTGACTTTGTTCAATATTGTAAGCTACAGCAAGTCAGTTGTCTTGATATCACTCTTGATGATTTTAAAATATTTTCAAAGACTTCAGTGGAAATGAAAATCATGATCACACAAAGCCATGACCTACACCACCGAACATGGAATAGTCATGCCCAATTCCCCAACTCTTGACCTGTTCATAGAATCATAGAATCCCCACAGTGTGGAAGGAGGCCATTTGATCTATCGGGTCAACACCGACCCTCCGAAGAACATCCCACCCAGACCCATCTGCTAACCTATCCCGGTGACCCTGCATTTTCCATAGCTAATCAAATTAACCTACAAATCCCTGGACACAATTTAGCATGACCAATCCATATAACCTGTTCATCTTTGGACCATGGGAGGAACCAGGAGTACCCGGAGGGCACCCATGTAAACATGGGGGAGAACGTGCAAACTCCAGACAGACAGTCACCAGAAGGTAGAATCAAACCCAGGGCCCTCTTGTTGTTTATTTCATAGAATCATAGAAACCCTACAGTGTGGAAAGAGGCCATTCGGCCCAACAAGTCCACACTGCCCCTCCAAAGAGCATCCCAACCAGGCCCATTCCTCCACCCCTGTATTTTCCCATGTCTAACCCACCTAACCTAAACATCCCTGGGCACTATGGGCAATTTAGCATGGCCAATCCACCTACCCTGCGCATCTTTAGATTGTGGGAGAAAACCGGAGCACTCGGAGGAAACCCACGTAGACATGGAGAGAATGTGCAAACTCCACACAGACAGTCGCCTGAGGCTGGAATTGAACCCAGGTCCCTGGTGCTGTGAGGCAGCAGTGCTAACCACTGAGCCACCGTGCCGCCCCAAAGTGGAGATTTCATCTCCTCTTTCAGAAAACACATGGTCAGCTACAAGCTGCAGGAATTGGAAGGCCTCTTACAGATTTACACCTTTTTCAATGATCATCCTTGACATCTAATCCCTTTATGTGGATTCTGTTAACTGTTACTGGTTTGTTGTAGTTTTTGTATTGACTCTCGGAAACTTTAGTGAGGGGTTTGATTTCCCAGAAATGTTCTGCTGTCGTATGACCTTCTTGGCCCCTACTATGTATTATCACAATGATATAGAACATAGACTATTGATCTTTGAACTCCATTGGTTGATTTAATACCTGCGACTTTCATAGAGGGAATTGGTTTTAAAAAGGAACCTAAGATATTGACTTATAATGACCACAGGCATCACCTGATGGCTAGGTATCATGAAATTAATGGTTGTTGAACAAAAAACTGCTTTTTTAACCAAAGGGAAATAAATTAGGCAGTGCACCTCACCCCCACTACCTTAGGGGATGTATCCTTTTTGATTTACACCATTATGAGAATCTTCACATGTTGGTGATGAAATCTCACCTGTAATTATCAAGCCTGAAAACACATCTTCTTCAGGCAAAGAATAAAGAATCAGCCTGTCTTTTGAGGAGCTTTTTGGCAGAGCAGAAGACATGGATTTTAGACTGCAGAACTGAACACAGGCTTGAGATGTTATTCCCTCTGCCTCTGGAGAAGAAAAGCACCTGGTTACAACATTGACTGGAAAGAGACATTAGGAAACTGAGAACCTCAAGGATTACTGCAATATTTGCTACTGCTGGCACTCTAAGAATCCAACTAATCAATAGTGTTGCTGGAGTAACACAGCAGGTTTGGCAACATCTGTGGAAACAAGACAGAGTTAATGTTTGAATCCGGTAACCCACCTTTGGGATAGATTTCCAGCATCCACAGTTCTTTATTTAATTATAATCAGTTGTAGTCTTGGGTTAAAATCAAAACCCAGGACTCCACACTGTGTATTCTTCTATCTGCCTTCTGTACTGGATGCTGTCTCCTTTTAACTTCGTACCTGTGTGTGGGATCGAGTGACTACACAAAGACTATGTGCTTGATGTTGCACCTTTAATATTCTTCTTTGTTGTTAGCAGGTAATAAACGCATTGTTTTAACTCAAGAAAACTTTGTGATTACCTCATTATTGCTACAGTAAAAATGAGTGAACTAAATTTTAAATTGGAGAAAGCTATAGTGTTTTGTTCCATGGTTGGTATGTTACTGTGGTTTTAAGAGACCTGCTCATAATATTATCACAGTGTCATAGCATGTGACCTGAGGATATAAAGATCTCATACTCCATATTACCGCTGATCGCTTGAAGCATGACACACTACTGGAAGCATGCTCCTCTGTTGTAACATAATCATAGACATATATTCCTGAAGAATATTTAGTTGTAATAAATGTCTGTTGGGTTTTTCAATACCCCAATACCAGTGCTCAGTTTCTTATGTTGTTAGAGATAAGGTGAACGTTACTGCATCAAGTAAAACAGCCTGCTGAAGGTACCTCATATGCGGTGTAGCCTCATGTTAAAAATAGCAAGCTTTTGTTGTAACCAACAGGTTGGAAAGAGGGGAACTAATTCACTGTTTCTCACCTGGTTGTGACACTGTTTTATATCAGACTTTCTTAGAACTGGATGCATTACAAATCCTTCACTAGGAGATTGCTGTTTCATTTTTCAGATGTTTTGATACTTTTTAAAAACTTGACACATCAAATGACAGATAGAAGCTGATCAACATTAATATTGCTTGCAGGTTAATGTGAATAATATGAGCCCTTAATGTACCTAGGAAAGATCCGATCAGTAATATTCTTGTTTGTTCATGTTGTAAGAGAGTATGGGTTGGGTAGTTTGGGTCAATATCATCCTCTTGTGTGCTGCTCACAGAAGGAAGTTGGTATCTTTGACCTCTGCTAGCTTGCAAGTGCTGCTAACAACTAATTACAGTGTTGGGAGCACAAACTGGAGATATTTTGTGCTATTTGCGATGACATTTGACTCATTGACCCCATGTGACTTAGCAGAATTGAGATAAAGCTAACTTGTATCAATTTTTTGTTACCATTTTTGACAGGTTCCAATATAAATTACAACCTTTTATCCTAACATAAGCCATTTCAGCTTTGAACTAAAGTTGAATCAAGTGAGGTCCTGGAACCCTTTTCAAGACCAATCAAGGCAAAGCAATTCCCCCCGAGAAAGACATTCTTTATTCAGATTTTGTAATCACACCAGTGCTGTCATCAATTAGAGCTTACAAAAGCAGCTTCTGGGGCCTTAATTCAGTAATGATGACATATAATAAATACTTTGTTGATGCTTTCTAACTAAGGAAATGGTGCAGCTGCATTGACAAGTAAGACATAGAGATTATGAGTTAAATCCGAGTTCCTGGATGATATTAACTGAGGGAGGAATATTCATTGGAATATACAAGAATTCACTTCATTCAAACTGTGGGATCTTTAATGCTAACATAATAGATAAACCGTAGCATCTAATCTCATGAGAACTAGCCATCAAACTGTTTCACATGCCTCCTCAGTGGGCAAAATTTTGTACGCTTTTGTATTGCAAATTTGGTGGCTGCGATGTGGGCATTTGATTGGGCAAACGGGGTGGTTGACAAGCTGCCATGACCTTTTCCAAATTAAGTCTATGATGGGAAAGCCTACGGAAACCCAATTAGTTAATGCCCACTTGAGATTTCATCCTGCTATCACTAAAGCTAAACCAGTTGTTGGCAGGGATTGCCATACCGGGAACATGACAAGCAAAACCCATGTGGGATGTGGTATCAGGGAAGTGCGTGTGAAAGGGGACAGGGAATGTCCCATTGCTGGACAACCCCTTGTCTTGCTACCGGTAGTCGTCCCCAAAACTCCTACCCAACAGCTGTCCTCCCACCATATGATCCCAGGCCTCAGTTGGATGTTATACCAGCAGCAGCCACCAAATCCCCAGTGGCACTGGTGTTGAATCGAGCTGCCAGCCTCTGATTAGCAGCAGCTCTCTGTGGGCTGAATGTTGGTGTTGGGGTCCTTGATCTGAGAGCAAGGCCTGTCAAATGCCTTAAGTGGTAGTGGGCTTTCTGAAAAGGCGTGACACTGGCCTAACCTCTAGCTCTGCAGCCGGTGGCCAAAGCTCTTATTGCCTCCACATAATTCCACGCAGTGTATCATCTCCTAGTTACATGGTTGAATTTTGAAGTGAACTTGAGCCTGCAATTTTCTGGCTCATGAGTGAAAGTATACTCTAGGCTGATGGCAAAATTCAGCCGTTCTCTTGTATGTATTTGCGCACAGAATCACAGAGTTGTTATGATGGAGAAGGGGACCATTTGGCCCATCATGCCAGCACTGTTTCTATTACCTAATGCCAATCTCCTGCCTTTTCCCCATATCCCTGCATACCATATCTATTCAAATAATTATCTAATGCCCTCTCAAATGCCTCAATTGAACCTGCCTGCACCACATTTCCAGGCAGCGCATTCCATACCCTAGCAACTCGCTATATGAATTTTTTCTCCCTCATATCACCCTTGCTTCATTTGCACATCATTTTAAATAACATTGCTTTTTCTTTTATAAGCTTACGCTTAGTAATGCTAGTAAATTGGTGGTTAAATGTATTAGTCTTTGCTGGCCAAACTGATACATGGTTAGAGATAGTGGGAACTGCTAATGCTGGCATCTGAGATAACAGTGTATAGAGCTGGATGAACACAGCAGGCTAAGCAGCATCAGAGGAGCAGGAAAGCTGACGTTTCGGGTCTGGACCCTTCTTCAGAAA